TTTTTGGTTGTTATATTTCTAAGTTAGACGTTAAACTTATGAGTTAGTTATTATAACTTTTGTAATTTTTATTCATTAATTGTAATTGGTTTTAGATTAACTGTTAACCTTATAGCGCAATTGTTAAGGTTACAATTTAGTTGTTAATCTCAGAGACTAGTTGTCAATGTTACAATTTAGTTATTATCCTTATAGATTGGTTGTTAACTTGAAGTTTGGTTGTTCTCATTATAATTTAGTTGCTAACCTTACAGATTAGTTGTTAACTGTACAAAACAGTTGCTAAGGTTACAGTATAGATGTTAAGGTTGCATCTTAAATCTTACAGATTGGTTGTTAATGTTACAATATAGATGTTAACGTTTTTATTTTGTTAATGTGGGTAGTGGTTGTTAATGATTATTATTGTTTTATATATAGATATGACTGTAGGATTTATGTGTACCTGTATATAAAAGCTATTCTTCTTGAAGAAAAAGATGTCTGACACCTCAAGTCAGAAATCACTTTACATGGGTCATACGAGTAAATTGACGATAACATTAACAACTGATGTGTAACTTTAACAACTAAATTGTAACTGGAACAACTAATGTGTAGTCTTAATAACTTAACCATGACATTAACAACAAACATGTATCATTAACAATAAAACTGTAACCTTAACAACCAAGTTTTAAAATTAACAACTAATGTGTATCTTTATCAACAAAATCGTAACATTAACAATTAACATATAAACTTAACAACTACATTGTAAACTTAATAATTAAACTGTAACCTTAACAAATATATTGTAACCTTAACAATTACGTTATTAACTTAACAAGTACCCCGTAAAATTAAAAATCAATCTGTATGGTTATCAACTAATTTATAACCTTAACAACTAACTAGAAAAATTAGCAACAAACTAAATTAAATAATCATACATTATGCCTGAGAAATAAACATTTGCTTATCACTTTTGGGAGTAATTTATTACAGTAACCTAAACCCTTTGATCTATCAAATTCATTTCTTTCATCGCCATTGTGAACTTATTAGTTGTGGATTGTAACGTTAGAACTCATGAGCTAAAAAAACTAGCTAGCAAGGGAAATACTTTCATGCTCTTCTTCTTTCTCCTTCAATCCACAACGATCTCCAACCCCGGTCTCAACATTGCTCGTCCTTCGCTAGGCCAAATCCAAGTTCCACCACCTCACCTCCAAGGTCCATATAGTCACAACCCACATATTCTTCTTCTCTAACTGCTTGGCCCTCGCTCGAAGGTTTATACGTGATGGATTTATTTCTCATAGGTATTTCGTCGAATAACTTATATGCACTTACAAGTACTAGTGTTCGTATCCCTCCTATATGATCTTGTGATGAGTCCAAGACTTTGAAATCAGAATGGAGGCCATCGTTTTGGGGTAGTGGGGGTGGGGGTGAGGGTGATGGTGCGGGAGGCCATAAGAGGTTTGATGGAGGGGCGAGCTCCATCTTCTCCGGCCGAAGATGAGGGTCAAAGAGGACGAGAGGCATTGAGTTTGTTTAGGGTAATGAGGGAGGGAATGGTGATGATGCAGGAAGTCTTGGAGCGACGAAAGAAAAACAGAAGAGATGATGAGAGCTTGTTGGTAATAACCATGGAGTGGGGAGAGAGAAAAGAGAAGAAAGGAGGGGGATTTGCTTAGGTGACACTAAATTTAAGGGTTCCAAGCATTAGAAAGTTGATTGAGGTGTTCTTGACTTGTTGACTAATAGCTTGTTTGGATGGAGGGTAGAGAAGGGAAGGGGAAAAGAAATTTTATTTTACCTTTGTTTGAGAGTTCCATTTAGAAGGACAGATGATAGGAATGAGAGGAAAAATTAAACTAAAATCTTACCCCCAAATTGGGAGGTAAAGAAAGGAAATGAAAAGAAGGGGAAAAAATTTCTCTTCGTTCCCTTCCCTGAGACATCTCCCAAACACACCATAAATCTTGTCGGAGAGGCAAATCTAGTTTGGGGCGCTAGAAGCAAATTTCCCTTCATTTTATTGATAATTCTACTTCCTCCACATTTTATGAAATAATCGCCATTTCACGGTTCAATATGAAAAAAGCCATTAATTTCCCCCACCTACGGGCCTGTTTGTTTGCACGGAAGTAATTGTAAAGTAGCTGAAGTAAAAAAAGTAGAGGTTACTTCTGCTACTTCCAAACAAAAAATTATGTTTGGTTCTCTGAAAAACTTACTTCCAATACTTCCCTAAATGCTTATGTGGCACATACGTGTCATCCTTACTTTTAAAATATTTTTTCAATCCTCAATACTCAGAAGTAGCTCGGAAGTAATTGAAATGCATATTAATTAAGACATAAATAATTTTTTTTATTAATATTTTCTTTATTAGTTACTTCTAACAACTTTTCAATGATAAAATTACTTCCTAGTAATATTTCTAAATGTTATCCAAATAAAAAAAGTAAATGAAGAGGAAAAAGTTCTACTTCTATTACTTCTAAAAATATATGAAACAAACAAAAAAAATGTTGTTTCCATTCCTTACTACTTCATAGCTTTGAAAGTTACTTATATAACATACTTCTTACTTCTAATACTTACATTATACAAATGGACCTTAAGCTCAACTCCCAAAAACTCAGCTGAGGGTCCCATCTAGGCGCGAAGAGCGGGCAGCTGTCCGTGGCAAATCAGCAATTTCCCCTCCTTTCCCAAAATAGCATAATTAAACAAAATTTAAGTGGCATTAAGACCTCCACGTCACCCCCGCGTTCTCGTCACCTGCCCCCAAAACAAGAACCCAACCCAACAATAGCTTATCTCACAGCGCAACCGAACCCAAAGCCATTGCCCAGAATAGAAACCAGTAACCCAATAGAAAATTCGCTAAAAAAATATATTACTCGGTGATGGCGACGAAAGAAATCGAGGGCTACTGGGGGCTCACTGCCAAGCGCTGCCGACTCGTGCAGGACCTCGCCGGCGTCCTCTGTCTGCAGAGGCGACGCGCGCCTACCTCTTCGCGGCACGCTGGCGACTCACGCGTGCACGGTGCCAGCCCGCTGGCTTCCCGGCAGCGCGGCGTGTGGCTGATGCGAGGTTTGCAGCAGGCCCTCTGCCGTCACGTGCAAGGCCGACGCCGCCACCCTCTGCGCACGTGCGACGCCGACATCCACGCGGCCAGCCCCCTCGCCGCCGCCACGAGCGCCTCCCCGTCGTCCCCTTCTACGAGGCCGTCCACGCCGCCATCAAACAACTCGGCGCGAACGCGGCGGTGGGGTTCTTACTGCGGGGACGAGGAGGACAACGAATCCAAGGCCGCCACGTGGATGACGACGACGAATCCGAGCTCAAACCCTAACCCTAACGGGGATGATGGAGACCCCGGATCTGAACTTCTTCGCTGACGTGGATCCGTATCTGGATCTGGACTACGGCGACAGCCTGGTGCCGGTGCCAGGGAAAGCCGCTCCGTCGGAGCCGGCGGTTTCAACGCGCGACCTCCCTCCGCCGCCTCCTCCTCCTGCGCTTGGTGCCAGACGGCGTCGTTGGAGTTCGATTTCACCCTCGGGAAGCATTCATACAGCTCTTACAACGCTCAATCGATGAGCCACAGCGTAATCACCAAATTCTTCCATTTTCTCCATCAATTATCAAACTAAACCCTAGGATCCCAGATCTAATCGAAACGGAACTAAATTACTTACCTCAGGTATCATCATCGGAGGTTGGAGTGGTCCCCGACGGCGGCGGAGGCGGAGGCGCGGGGTCGTACCTTCATTCTGAGACCCGACCCGGGGTTTGATCTGTCGTAAGTTGTAATATTCCTTTTTTGCTTTTTAGATTTTGTACTGCTTTTCAATTTGCTCTTTGTTGTATATTAAGACACCTTTATCTTTCTTAATTTTGCAAGGAAAAAAAAAACAATTAATCTAGTTAAAATTTTGCGTTGCTGTGTGGTTTGCAGAGGACCTTAGAAATCTACTGAATAGCTTTGCTTTGTGCCAGTTCCGTCAAATTTGTTAAGAGGCTGTTTGGTTCTTTTTTTAACTCGGTGGAAAAGTTTTACATAGTCTCCATATCAGATTTTTCATGGTCACGTAGGATATAAGCTTTCCGTTGGTTTTTACATGAAAATGCATTTCCATATATCTAGGAAACGAACCAAACAACCCGTAAAGTACAAAATCCTGAAAAAAAAAACTTTACCAAATATTAATACACGCACAGATAAAACTTATAAAGTTCCTCGCAAAAGTGAGGGGGAACACCGAGCATGCTCACGGTTGAAAAGCTATAGGTACAAGTGAATCTTGCCTATCCTACCAAGCTCTGATGGACAACCAATGATTAAGGAGGGGTTTTTTTTTTCTTTATACGCCCTCGACATTATATGTATTTTTAAATTTGCCTTCCAAACTATTACAATTTTAAATTTGCCCCTCAAATTGATCTGATACACCGATTTTGCCCCTAACCCTGACTGCTGTTAGATTTTTATTGATTTGTAGGGGTAGATTGCATCTTTACCTTATTTTAATTGTTAAGAAAATTAATCAAGGGCCAAGGAAAAAGTAAAAGTCCAATTAGGCTACAACATGCAACCCTTATTACGAAATAAGAACCCAACCAGTTTTGTACAGAAACCCCAATCGGGCGTATGCAACTTTGGCGGCTTCATTATTTTAAAAGTTTTGAGTTTTCTCGTTTCAATTTGGTTCGGCAATTAACTGAGATTTGATTTAGGGTTTGGTTTAGAAAACATCTGGTAAGTTCAAAGGGAGAAATGATCGGATATATTTAATACCCAGCTTGATGTTCATAGATCCTTGAATCGTTCCGGTACCTCTCTTCGAGCTACCTACAGACAACGAGTTTAAAGGGTCGGAGAAAAAAAAAAAAACCCAGTGAACAAGACGCATAGGCGAGAAGCTTACGCTGACAAAATCTGGAGGGCAAAAGATGTAACATAGTTTTCAAAACTGTTAATAATTTGACGGCGCTTAGGGGCAAACTTTTGGGGGGTCAAATCAATTTGAGGAGCAAATTTACAAATATAATGATTTGGAGGGCAAGTTTAGAAATAGATACAACATCAGGGACATATATGAAAAAAACCCAAGAGTAAAAAGACACGGTGGGAAAATATCAGTAGAGATCTTGGAACCAAATCATCCTCAAAATCGATCATTTTAAGAGCTAAATGATCGCACAATCATCCAGTTCTTCATTCTGCAACTCGGTCGTCCTCCAGCTTTCTATTGCTTCTGGGTCGTTCACGTCTGTAAAAATCTTTAATACCTGCAAATAAATGATATAAATTTCATTTATTTTAGCCATGAGAGCTTGCTAAACTTAAATTCAGTTGCGTCTCCAAAGAAAATTTCTGATGGCTACAGTCTGATTTCACTTCTCATTTTATTCCTTCTCATCGTATCTTATTACCTCTGCAAATTTATTTACATTGCCAGATGTAACTCCAATTTGTTCTTCTGTAAATTTTGAGCACATTTCCTTCTAGTAATTATATTCTCCAAGGGCGTGTTTGGTTCGTCCTAAATTATTGGAAACAAGTTGTTTTTTAAGGATTTGGAACAAAAAGTAGGTTTTTTTTGCCATTTTAGAATTCCAAAAGTTTGGTTTGTTTCAATGTTTTTTCAAGAAAATGTTTCTTAAAAAGGTAACTTTTTTGGACAGCCCATTTCCTATCTTTTGGCTAGGAAATGGGCTAGAAACATGACAACTCATCATTTTCTCTCACAACTCTTATTATTATTTAGAAATAAAACAAACTTGAGTTTTGGATATGCTTTCCTATTCTTTACTTTATTATTCCATATCAAACACAAGTTTTGGATTCTTTAGATTATCCTTTTTTTTTTTTTTTTAAATTTGGTTTCTTGTCAGGGAATTCATTTCCATAATTTTATGGAAATGGACCAAACTGCCCCTTAATAGATATCTACGAAAAGGAATCCCAGAACATGTGTAGGTCCTGTCGCAACACATAATTTAAGAATCGTGGATGATAAGGTTTCGTTAGCAATGAAGGGATGCAGCTTCGGATAAAATCAAGCAATAACACCAGCAAAAGAGCCTTACGCTTGGATTCTTGAGGAATACTAAACCTATCAAGTCTTTTTGCAGGAAGAATCCTGAACTCTTTTTTTTTTTTACCTATTCCTAGTTGTACTTTTACTTTAGCGAATCCCAATTTCCTTTTTTGATACGTCAACATGTTCTTTTAAACAAAGTTTGAAACTATGGAAAGCATGCATAAAGTTTTACCTCGGTCATGGATGGCCGCCAAATGGAGGAATTCCTTACACAATAGGAAGCAACAAGCACAAGCCTATGCATCTGCTCCTTATCGAAATTTCCCCTGAGCTTAGAATCAGCCAACTCGGCAATGTTTCCAGACTCTATAAGTGGCCTTGCCTGCTCAAAATTTTCAAAATTTAACAAGCCATGAATCTGAAATCGAAATAATACAGAGCGTGTAGAATATGTTTACCCATAGGAGCAGGCTCTGTCTCGATGAATCTACTGGCCTTCGCCCGCTAATGATCTCCAGAAGCAAAACACCAAATGCAAAAACATCCGTCTTCTCATCAACGATCCCGTGCATAAAGTACTCAGGCGCAAGATACCTGCTCAGATTTTCAGTCAGAGTTTATTCTTCAAGCGGATGAAGATTTTTGCGTTAAACTCGAGGCTTCAAGAATTTTACCCAAATGTTCCCTCTATTGGAGTGACATAATGATGAGTCCATTGCTTAGGAAGCCATTTTGCCAGGCCAAAATCTGAAATCTATATGAAGCAATAATCAACCAAGTCAGTTCCCTACGTACACAAAATTTCATTATTTAATTAAAATTCCACCTGCGGTTCAAAATCTGGTCCTAGGAGAACATTGGAAGCCTTGATATCGCGGTGAATGATGCGTCTCCTGCAGCATTTGTGAAGATAATGCAGGCCTCTAGCAATTCCTACTGCAATCTTATACCTCATTTGCCACTCCAGCAACTTGCTATTTCTACCTGAAAACCATCAAAACTTCTCAATCCATAGATTTCGATCATGATAATGCGAGGTAGTCATATTGTTGAAAAAGCTCTCACCGTGCAAGGCAGAAGCTAGGGTGCCATTGGGCGAGAAATCGAATATAAGATGCAAACCATTCTCAATACAACACCCTATCAAGAACACTGTATTTTGATGACACACATGCCCGACTATGCCAAGCTCTGTGAGGAATTCTCTCTCTTTATTTTCGTCTCTGTTCTCTTTTGTCAATCTCTTAACTGCTACACTTTGGCCATTGTATAGTTTTCCTTTGAATACTTCAGCGTATCCTCCTCTTCCCACTATGTTATCTGACAAAGGGATCGAAATGGTGAAATAAGTGAATTTACAGAATGAGAGAATATGATTCGTTGTCATTTATGGTTTGAATCTCACCTTGATGAAAGTTATCTGTAGCATACGAGATCTCCTCGTAGCTAAAACACCTCCAAGATGGTTTTTGATGTTCAAAATTGGATGAACACTCGTCGATTTCCTCAAGATCAAGTGAGGATCTAAAGAAAGGAGATAATAGCTTGACAAAGGACAGTCTTCTCCAAATCTTACTCCGATTATTATCCCTTCCATCTTCTTCTGGTCCATCGAGAATAGTCACTGGTGATGTCTTCTCGCATACGCTTTCAATTGAAGAGCATCTCTTATCTCGCTTTGCCTTTGGTGTGAAAATGTTTGTCCACCTTAAGCTTGAAGCTTGGTTACCTGTATAAATTTTTCGATACTAGTAATTTCTTCAATGTAAATTGTAATATTATAGTTCGATGTAGGTTTACCTTCATATGTTATAGGATCAAGTTCAGTATCACGATTCTGAGTACTTTGTTTCCCAATAGCAATCACTGAGCAGCTTTCAGGGGCATGCTTGAAGCAATACTTAGCGGTTTCGAAGAAATCCCTAATTCACAAAAGGGTATGTTATAAGAAATTGAGAAGCAAATCGATGAAATTAAACTTTCAGCAAAATGAATTATCTTGGTTACATGAATCCAAAAATCTAGGATAAGGCTCAAGGTGTGAAAGAACTCTGTGGAGCTTCAGTTAATTTTGAGTTGGATTGAATGAGTTAGGTGTTATTTTGATGTTACAGCGTATATATAACAGTCTTTCTTCTTGCCCTCCTTTTCTTCAGAAATACAATTGCATCTGAGTTTAAATTAAATCTCAAATATTAGATTTGCTTAAATTAAGGATGCACTAGGAAAGTAATACACGAGGACTTCGCTCAAATTAGACAAATTCAGATATCAGATCATGGCATTATTTTTAACAAAATCTAGTTTGTTGAAACTTCTCTTATCAAAGTGCCAATCGCAGCCACCAAACTATCCATTGAATTGATTTTTTTTTTAATTTCATAACACATCTAGATGAATTGAGATGAAACCTACAATCAACAATAAACACACATACAAATGATTTGACATCTAACCTCTGAGATTGATTGCTTGGACCACCAGTAAGGAGATAGTTCGCATCAAGGAATGCAGCTTCATCAACAAGTCCTCTTCCAATGCTTAAACTATTCTTTACCTTCGCCTCTAATTTCACCTAAGCAATGTTCATATATTATATACAATTACAATGCACATATTCATTTACGATCCAACACGAGCAACATACCTGTTTGGTTTGACAAATCTCAGAAAATTCCCCGAGCATCGATATCACAAAAGCCTTTGCACGTCGGAATCTGCTCATGTCGTACTTGAGCCTGCTCTCCTCTTTCCCGACTAATAAAAAAAAACTTCAGTCACGAAAGAGGGAGAATACCATATATGAGATCAATCAAACTCGCGAGTGAAAACTATACTAACCAAGAACGTGTAACGCGATTATGGTGTCATTTGGGCGAGCCATCACTCTCACTGCCCATGAAAGTAGCTCAGAGCTCGTTCGTGCATCAAGCGAAACGCCAACTAAAATCTTCTCCCCCGAAGACGAAGAAGAAGAAGAAGAAGAAGAAGAAAAGGAGGAGGAAGACTCAACGGAGTCCATTTTGGATAGGACGCGATAGGAAGTGAGAGCAACTAAATGTGCTTAAATTCAAGTTTTGCCTTAGTTAAGAAGCATAGAGTATGAGTGCAGGTATGCATGGTTTTGATTACAAGATGAGTGTTTTTGGCCTAGAAATACCGTAGTGGGTCGGTTGGTGAGGTTTGGGGTTGAAGCAAAGGTTGGATAGAGTTTGATTTTAACTTGATATTGAAGCTAGAACAATTGGATAAAGGCTCTAAACTCTTTTTTATTCGAGTGTGGAGCTAGACTGTTCTTGACTCAATTTTCTTCATGAGAGTGACAAGTTAATTAGAAAGTTGGCAGTAGGTGAAGAGGGTGACGCATAAAAGGTAAGTCCTTGTCAAGTTTCATTTTATGTGAGTATAGGTTAATTAGTAAAAAGATTATTAATTTGTGGGGGGCCTAGCTAGCCTGTGGATATAATGAGATTAATATTATAATCTCAATGGTGATGGCATGGGTTATTGGAGATTCACTTATTACCGTAACTAACAAACAGCATTGCGATATGGTTCAAGCTTAGTATCATGAGGAATGATTGATAATGATAGAAATTGACGTTATAAAAGATCTTTATCCATGAGCCTAAGGTTAACGCTGTTCGATCTGGTATATATAGAAATTTCAAGCAACAATTATAAAAATCCAGCATGCAAAACATGAACTATAGTCACAATTACAACTATTTGTTTCGTTATAACTGCAGCCGAAATTATACTTTTACGAGAGTAATTTTTTCTGCAAAATTGGGTACAACGTTATTTATTTATTTATTTATACTGCTTCAGACATTGTAACGGTAGCGTAACAGAATAAAATGCGACTGTATTATGTGTTTCTCTTTTGTTGGAAATTTATCAAATAATTAAGATTATAGCATGTAGATAAATCCGAAAAAATAAACAATTAAAACTGGCCTGATCGGGAGCAGTCGTGTATTCACTGCCCTAGAAGATTGAGAACCCGCCTATCGCCCTGACGCAGATGGTTCCCTCCCCCCTAGCGGTGAAAGCCCCCGGAAACGACCGACCTCTGCACTCGGGCGAGAGTGCAGAGCTTCAGCTCAGATGAAGGAAGTTGCCCATAAAATAAAACTAAGATGTAGATGAAAATAATATGTAGGGGAGAGAAGAAAAACAAGAGAAACTTGTTGTATATTTTTTCTTATCATTTTGAGCTCAACATACGGATATATATATAGGGTTGGAAAAGACGTTACAAAACCCGTAATTAATTCCGTAACGTTCGTCATAAATTTTATAACGTACCCCATAATTATATAGCCGTTACACATATTTTTAATTGCTAATAAAAACATGTTTTAATTATAAAATTTTTATTACTATTCATGAAGGCAAAATTGTCTTTTCTTAACAAAATATCTAGGAAAAATTGCTTCAAGGCCCCAAAATCTAAAAAGTCATGTGACCCAGCCCCTCATACTTTTGGTTATGTGCTGCAGCCCCAAAAATAAAAATTCTATGTGATTCAGTCCTTATTACAATTTCCAAGAAAATAAATTCCCAAAAAACCCCAAACTACCCCTCTTCTTCTTTTCTAGATCTTCTTCTTCTCCAGATCTTCTCCTTCTAAACTACCCCTCTTCTTCTTTTCTAGATCTTCTTCTTCTCCAGATCTTCTCCTTCTTCCTCCTCTTGCTCCGCTCTTCTTTGTCTCGTCCAACTCCACTCCCTCTCTCTCAAACTCCAGCGTCGCCTCATAAGGTGTTACCACCTCCCTCAACGCCGCAGCCGTCGCCGCTTCAGCACCCGTCGTGCCCCTCCTCAACATTTCGGGTCATCCTCCACAGCCTCCTCAACTCCGCCACCACCGCCACATCGGCCACCCTCATCTTGTCGTGTTCAGTTCTTCGTCTAATTTCACATTTTTTTTTGTTTAATTAGTTGAGTTAGAGAAGGAGATCTCGTGTTATGTCTTGTTATCCAACAAAACCCATGACCACATTGCCTTCAAGGTATTTCTCATTGATTTTCCAGTTAAATTCAATAAATAAATAAATATTAAAAAGGGGGGGAAAGATTGATTGTTTTGGGTTTTTTTTGGCTTGTTTTAGGTTATGGCATCCACCTGGAATTGCACAATATGGCCCAATAGAGAGATCCTCTTGCCACAATCCACATCCTCCCCAGACTTTAGATTAGTTGCATCAAGATGAAAATGAGTATCAGTGTATTGTGAAGTTATGGATTATTATACTAATGTAATTACATCTGGGCCTTTTCCTTAATCTGGTGCCTGAATATAGTTAACAAGCACCTTAAAATAGTTAACATGAACTTGAATATAGTTAACATGCACTTGAATATAGTTAACATGAACCTGAATATAGTTACCAAGCACCTTAAAATAGTTAACATGAACCTGAATATAGTTAACAAGCACCCTCAAATAGTTAACATGAACCTGAATATAGTTAACAAGCACCTTAAAATAGTTAACATGAACCTGACTATAGTTAACAAGCACCGTAAAATAGTTAACATGAACCTGAATATAGTTAACAAGCACCCTCAAATAGTTAACATGAACCTGAATATAGTTAACAAGCACCTTAAAATAGTTAATAGTTAACAAGCACCCTCAAATAGTTAACATGAACCTGAATATAGTTAACAAGCACCTTAAAATAGTTAATATGAACCTGAATATAGTTAACAAGCACCATAAAATAGTTAACATGAACCTGACTATAGTTAACAAGCACCGTAAAATAGTTAACATGAACCTAAATATAGTTAACAAGCACTGTTTGGTGGAAATTTTGTAATAAAAAGAATATAAGGAAAGAATTGCGTTTGGTTTTATTCTCTCTAACTGCTTAGAAAAAGAATGATTACAACTCTCTCAACTCTCGATTACAATTTGGATTCCTGGTTACAAAAGAGAAGAGAATGATCTGGATTCTCCCCTTTGTTTAATTCTGGGTTCTTCACGGTAGCGATGAGATGCCTCCCTCGAATGCTTGCGTCGAGTTTGCTTCTCGTTGACGATCCGAATATCTATACTTCACTGGAACAACTGTCTTGGCCGGTTGATAACTCTTGTCGAGTTTTGTGATTCAGAACAAGTAACAAACTCTAATGATAGAGTTGTTGGAACCGAAAATAATTCGGTTAATAAGCCAAATATCGATGGTTTAGAGATCCTCCGTTTGTTGATTTCCCAGACTGTGTAAGGAGTCAATCCTCCTTTTTCTGATTCTGGAAGATTTGATCGAAAGATCCCCCTCCGATTAATGAAAAGAAATCTCTCTTGATCTGATTATCAAAAATCCGATCTCCCCAATCCAAAAAAAAAGATCCTTTACTCTGTTGAGTTTGTTGCTAGTTTGAACAGGTCAGAGCTTTGACATGCGTTCTGGCCTAAATTCTGTGTTTGAACGCAGCATCTGGAAGTGCGTTCTGCAGCGATATTGAGCTGCGTTCGGACTGATTGTTGAAGCTGCGTTCGAACAAATGTTTGAACTGCGTCGGGCAGCGATTGGAGCTGCGTTCGAGCTATGCTTGGCAGCGATCGGAGCTGCGTTCGAGTGATTGTTGAAGCTGCGTTCGAACAAATTTTTGAACTGCGTCGGGCAGCGATTGGAGCTGCGTTCGAACTGATTGTTGAAGCTGCGTTCGAACAAATGTTTGAACTGCGTCGGGCAGCGATTGGAGCTGCGTTCGAGCTATGCTTGGCAGCGATCGGAGCTGCGTTCGAGTTATGCTTGGCAGCGATCGGAGCTGCGTTCGAGTTTCTCTGTCTTTATATATGGATGACACCAATGACAATTGAGGCATCTAAATAACGCTCTATCAACTGCGGGTCACGATCTCCACTGAGATTTCTTTGCATGGTTTAGCCATGTGCTCCTCGGTGTGTCGAATATCATTACACTGCTCATCAGCATCTCTAATAGTTGCTAATATCATGTTGTTGTCGCAGCCATCAAGATCAATCATCTCACATAAGCAGCTGTATCTTCGTTTGCAGTGGTTGAAGCTGCTTAGGTGATCAAATTGGTGTTGTGTCTTGAAGATGGTATGCAGAGAGGGTTTCCACGTCTTGGTTTGAAGAGATCGTCGATTTGTAATCCTTTCTGTTAGAGTATTGCTAAAGACTGTCATTTTGTAATCTTTGCTTTAACTCTTTGACATGTGAAAATCTTCGAATTGTAGCCTTCTGGAAGTCGTCAGATTGTAACTTCCATCATCAGTGTTTGATGGCGACTCAGCTATCCATTGTGATTTTTAGACAGCCTACAAGCACCTTAAAATAGTTAACATGAACCTGAATATAGTTAACAAGCACCCTCATATAGTTAACATGAAACTGAATTAGTTAACAAGCACCGTCAAATAGTTAACATGAACCTAAATATAGTTAACAAACATCTTAATATAGTTAACATGAACCTGAATATAGTTAACAAGCACCTTAAAATAGTTAACATGAACCTGAATATAGTTAACAAGCACCCTCAAATAGTTAACATGAACTTGAATATAGTTAACAAGCACCGTAAAATAGTTAACATGAACCTGAATATAGTTAACAAGCACCTTAAAATCGTTAACATGAACCTGGATATAGTTAACAAGCACCCTCAAATAGTTAACATGGACCTGAATATAGTTAACAAGCACCGTAAAATAGTTAACATGAATCTGAATATAGTTAACAAGCACATTAAAATAGTTAACATGAACCTGAATATAGTTAACAAGAACCCTCAAATAGTTAACATGAACCTGAATATAGTTAACAAGCACCGTAAAATAGTTAACATGAACCTGAATATAGTTAAAAAGCACCTTAAAATAGTTAACATGAACCTTGCATATCTAGCAATTAGAGCATTCCATGAGATTTCGTTCTTGGAATCCAACCGATCAAACACAAAACAAGGCTCATCCATCTTCCCAAAACGTGCATACATATCCAACAATGAACTCCCAACAAACACATTCAAGTTGCAAGAATATTTAACACTTAAAGCATGAATTTGTTCCCCCAATTCCAATACTTGCAGCAGAACCAGTGGCCTTCAAAAGGCTCGCAAAAGTAAACTCGTTAGGTTTCAATCCAAGTACGAGCATTTTAGGAAGCAACTCCAATGCCTCTTTAGGATGATCATTCTGTGAGTAACCAG